ACCCAACTCATTTATCCAAAACAATATCCAAATCAGTTTTTAAATCAATAGAAAATAGCGATTGAAATCAATATGGAGATCAATAAGTCGATCATTACGAGACCCATTGATTTAATCAATCAAAAACAAGCGAGTCAATATCAACATAAAACATATACGTTCTATTGATTAGGATCAATATCCGATTTTCAGGGTAAGGTTTGAGGTTTAGGGTTCATATGGGCGTCTTAAGAATTAGAATAGGGTTTTGGGGGAGTTCCTTTGAAGGGTTCCTTAAAGGGTTCTATAAGGGCTACTATAAGGGTTTAGGGTATAGGGGCCTTAAGAATTAGAATAGGGTTTTGGCTTCTTCATAGTAGATTTACAGTAAGGAACCCCACGAACAATATTGGTAGTTGTTTAGGCTTCTATATTAGGGCGGTTAGGGTTTAGGGTCGGGAGTTAAGTGCAATACTTTTTGGGCTCCTGATCATAAAGGCGCCTATATTCGGGTTTTGCGAAGGTTGTAGCATAGCAGAATTCCATGCGGGCTTTCCAGGGCGTCCGAGTCTTTGTAGTTGAAAAGTAGAGTTATTCACACGACATCCCAACGTAAGGTACTTACCATAGAGACCTGGATAGTTCGAATGGGGGGTTACTTAAACCCTAAACCCTAAACCCTAAACCCTAAAGGGTATGTTTTGGCACAGTGATAATCCGGAACCCTACAAGAAACTTATTGCGAGCTGCCTACAGCCGACCCTCTAGGTCCGCAAATCCCATAAAATCCCTCAAGCGTTTAGGGTTTATAGGGTTTAGAGAAGTTTGTAAGTTTGTACGGCCCGTTGTTGAGGGGGTTGTCGTCCGTAGGGTGGGGTGGAAATCCTTCCCCTAAGGCTCTAAGGACTCATATTCTAAGGCCTTTGGACCCTAAACCCTAAACCCTAAACCCATACTATTTTGAGCCTTTGGTCTATTTTGGGCCTTAGGGTTCCTGAACCCTCTAATTGCCCTTGCAAAAGTTGCAACTCCTACGGGATCCATCGGGAAAAGAGTCTCAGCCTCATCCCTTAGCCCTACAACCCTGAAGCCGTAGAGGGCACAAACCCCAAAGCCCCCAAAACCCTCAAAGCCCAAAACAATAATAGCCTTAATAACCCTAAGCCCTAAAAGCCCGAAAATCCCCAAACCATTAAAACCCCAAGCCCTGATTCTTAATTATTTCCTTAGTTACCCAAACCCCTAAACCCCAAAATAACCCAAAACATATTTACAAAAACCCAAGCCCTAAAACTTAAATTCTTAATTGTTTGATAGCAGGCGCCTGGCTCGGACTTGACCCGCCTGGCACGCGACTGCCTGCACTCCCTGGCGCGCGACGCGCGGGGCCTCGGTTTAGGGTTTATGCGGACTTAAATTAGGGTTTTCGGGTGTAGGGGTTTAGGGCTTAGGGGTTGGAGTTTGGGGTTTAGGGGTTTAGGGCTTAGGGGGTTTATTAGTTTCAGTGTTTGGGGTATGCCGAGTCGAGTTTCAGGGTTTGATAGGGTGCCGAGGATTAAGCTATGGGGTTCCAGATTGGCATTTACATTTTGTAATAATGCTTAATCAGGAACCCTAAACCCCTAAACCCTTAGCCTTAAGCTAGGATGTTCAGCTCTTGAAGAGGGATGAAAGACCGCAGTTCCGGACACCTCTGGGTGTTGTCGCGATCCTGAACCAATATAGGCGCCTCAATAATTACCTAGTATACTATTTCGGGCGTTCCTTATTATCGTAGAAAATACGCTTATCCCTTATTCTCAAGGCCCCTACATTAGCCGCTTCGTACTCCCGACTTGGCCGTAAGGTCAAAGCCGTGAACAGCCGTTCCGAACCGCCCGAACCCCTGTAGCACTTAGACGTCGTATTGAGAAGTAACACAAATAGTTCTGGCATATGGGTGGTTGTCAAAATTNNCCTTATTATAATACGGCACCTATATTATTTCGGGTACCCCAAAAGGGACCATAATTTTGACAACCACCCATATGAGGCAGAGTCTGACATCAGCCGGCCTGCGCTGTGTGCCATCGTCACTGAGCTGCAGACTCTTCAATGGTCTACCTACAGTCCCCTTTGTAGTTCCTTTTTGTGGTTTAACCAATTCTATATCAAGGATCCAAAAAGGTAACCCAAAAAAGGAACTACAAGGGAGACTATAGGTAGAGGTTGATTGACAGATTCGGATTTCATGGTATAAATCGGACCGTAGCACGAGTCTGTGTGTCGCCAGTTGTTTATGTCTTGTGGAGGCTTTGCAATACTACAGTATATCTGTCTTGGCGTTCTTCTGGTTGGCTCTTAGGACTTTTTTTGAGGTTTCTCAATATGAAGTACAATACGTAGGCTCAAAGTCTAACTTTCAGGAGGGGTTCAGAAGTCAGCCAAGCTGTCTTCAGCACTTCATGCCTTCACTCGCCTCGGGCCCATTTCATTTATATGCTTTACTTGGATAAGACGCATGGAGAGCTTCAACATTTTTGGCCTTGCATACGTGGTTTAGTTTACTTGAAAGCCTCAACTACTAAGAGGATCTTGGGATTCGGTACGTAAGGTGAGAAGTACCTTGATGCCGTCAGTGGGGTCATTCGTAATTTTACCTATAGATACCTTATTCATACCCGTAGCTACTGTTTAACTGTTTTTGGGCCTGGTTATTGTAGGAGGAGAGTTTTGGGTCTTGCAGCAAGTCCTTCAGGCTGAAGTTGTGTAACTTAATAAAGGGGCCTAAATACTTACCTACATTATGTTGGGGGGCTCCTTATTATAATTATAGTCTAAGGGACCCCAAAGCCGTATTCGAATTATTGAGGCTCCTCCTTTACACCTTTTACTGTGATGGCAGGCGTTGTGGCTTTGGCTTCTGGAGTTTTGCTCTGGCAAGTTCTCAGCATTTTTGTCTGTCTGCAAAAACTCATTGCGATTATAGCTGAGGGTGGAAATCCCTAAACCCTAAATTCCCACCCGGCCTGCTTAGGCCGTACCCACCCTTTTTCTAGGGTGCCTGGACCCAGGAAATACCGGCACCGACACCATTTCTTGGGATTTCCTTTTTGTTATAGGCCCCCAGGCCAGGGGGCTCCGGGCCGGTCCCCGGAAACTTGGCCAAAATCACGATTTTTGCGCTGGCCCTCCCTGCCCCCCTTGGCCCCGCTGGCGCCTGTCCGTCCGCACCTTGCTTCCTGACCCTCCCTGCCTCCGCCAGGCCTCTTGGCCCCCCTTAACCTTGCCATGGACGTTGCTGGAAGAGTGCGAAAATGGGCAGACGGCCATGCCAGAGGTGGGAATTGAGGGCGCCAGCCCTAAAGCCTAAAAGGTAATATTTTGGCTGTGTAAGCTCAGAGCGGGCGGGAAAAGAAATGGGAACCAATTTGTAATTGTTTTGTGAAGAGATCGCATCTCCGTGTCTAGACGT